AGATTCCCCCCCCCCTCCTTCCCCCTCGCCAAGGAGATTGGCCATGCCGCCGAGAGGGCAGGGGCCGCTGCACTCGCCTCTGACGTTGAAGCTGCCGCCGCCACCGCTGTTGCCGCCGCACGCTGCCGCCACTGTCGCTCTCGTCATTGCCGCGACTGCCGCCATTGCCATCTCCCAGGCCGTGGGTGTTGCTGCTGGGAAAGGGCGGGCTAGGTTAGGGGGTGTGGGTGTGTGTGGGCTTGTTATTACTGAGCCTAGGGGGTGTGTTAAATTATATATTTTGTTATATAATTGGTAGGCTTGGTAGGTGTTACTGAACTCTACTGCAGAGGGTACAATCGCCTCCTTGTATCCCTTTCTCTTTCTAGTCTTGCCTCTTTTTTCTCTCTCTCTCTCTCTCGTCAACTTTCTCCATCCTAAACCTCACGCCATTCCATGGCTTCCCTCCTACCTAGCTTACCGTATTCCCCCGTATATAACACCCGCCGAAATAGTCACTCCATGGGTGGCATATGCGGGGCATAGCTTATAATATGGTACATTTTTTAGAGCACCCGTTTTTTAGACCTTGCATTGTACATAACACCCTCCATCGTTTTTTCACGTCAAAACTTTTTTTTTTCCGAATGTTGCAGCAAATTACTCTGAGCTACTCTACATATGCTAGCTACACCTATATGGCATACTCTACTGCGTCTACAACAGGACGTCAAATCTACTCAATAGTTACGCCCATTATCAATCCTCCTCTTCCTCATATCCCTCTCCAACATGCCACACCTCTGCATCTTCATCGTCGGAGGCAATATCATCCCAGTCAAAATCATCAGTCTAGAGGGATGCAGCCAGGCCAGCAAGAACCTCCGCCGCCGGCATCTCTCCGCCATCGCCCTCGTCATCTTCGCCAGCAGGGACCTCTGCTCCTATTGCTGCTGTTGCTGAGGCTTTTGCTGTAGCACATGTTGCCGTGTCCAAGGACGAGTCTGCTGCTGCTGCTGCTGTTGTTCCTACGACATCTGCCTGCGGCGTTCCAGAGGATGAGGCAGAAGCCGCAGCATCGATCTCGGTCTCCACATCTGGCTCGTCGTCCTCCACGTCTGGCGCAGCGTTGGGCTCGATGTACTCCACGTCGTAGAAGGGATTCTGCGCCCTAGTCTCCTCCATTTCGGCGTGGACATCGTCCATTACCTCGACCTCCGCGTCGTCCCACAAGTGGGCAAGAATCACCTCGTCCTCTGTGCCGTCAGTCTCGTTAGAGATGCCGCACGTCTTGAACGTGCGGCGGATGAGTTCTGCCGGAACCGCGGCCCACGCGTCAGCAATGCACTGCAACACAAGCTCGGCTGGTGGAAACGCAAGCCATATGAACCACAGTCGACTAAAGACTAATCACAGAATACACGTCAACAACAAAACATGGTGCTCACCAGCAATAGTGGTCGACTCGCAGCCAAACTCTTCGAACCACTCGCTGTACGATAGATGGACGTGCGCCTTGACGCAGCGGTTCACTGCCACGTCCAAAGGCTGTACGATAGGAGTGCATCCGCCGGGAAGGACTGCACGGGAGAGCTTGAACAGGCGCATGAACAGAGACACTCCCTCGGTGAGGTGTCCCTTGTACAAGTCGAGGACCACTAGCGCCTTCTGACGGCCATCACGCCTCGCATGGATGGTGCGCAGGAATGGCACGAGGACGGTGGTGACCCAATCCTTCACGTGCGCCTCGTCCATCCAGCCCTTCTCATGGGCTTTGTTGAAAGAATATTCACTAGACGCAGGCGTAAACAGCTACAAATGATTATTACCTGGTGGGACTCGGATGTGCAGCAACAGAGTTTTCCGCTTGAAGATGACATACGGCTTCAGTTTTTTGCCGCTTGCTGTGACTGCCAGTGTGAGAGTACGACCCCGTTACACCACTTGGCCTTTCCTTATTTCCTTCCTATTTCATTTCTCTTTTATCTCATCTCATTTGGTTTCCTATTCTCCCTTTTCCATTAACCTTTGGTTTATCCTGCTATTATAATTATATCACCGACCACGCTTGGGATGCACTGGTGCGCTATATCTAGCGTAATCCTGCTGTAATCCCTTAAAGCCAATAGCCTCGCGTGGCTATACGCAGGGTGATTCTATCTTCTAGAAGGGTCTATTCCCTTAGGATAAGATAAACCTGGTTACCTTACGTACTCTGGAAGTATAAAAGTGCCTTGTACTGATCGATAGTGCAATCTTTCCTCGAGTCATTCGATCCTGTGACACTTGGTAATCAGAGCTTTTCTCACTCGGCCGCGCTCAACAAGCAGCAGCAGCGGGAAAACCTGCCTAAAAAAACCGCCAGGGGTGACAAATTCGACGCCGATTCTGGTAAGCACCAGCTCCGCGTTTTTTCGAATCACCCCCCCCCCCCCCCCCCCGCACGTGTTTTGAACAGGATGGCAACCTTCGACAACGCCGAGGTTACCCAGCAGCTCTTCGCGCGCATCGCAGCCCTTCAGGAGGAGATGCGAGCGGATCGCGAAGCATGGCGAAACAAGTTCGAGCGAGTAACTCGACTTGCCAGAGCGCAGCACGACTCGACAACGGCGACGACACAGCAGTCGCAGCAATTTCTCGAGGCTCCAAAACCGCGCCCACCTGAGCTGTTCGATCCAAGCGATCGAAACTCCGACGCCCGCAGATGGATCACCGGGATGGAGATCTACTTTGCAGCCGTCGAATGGAGCTCGCCAGTCTGGGACGGTCAATACGTACGACTCGCGGCGACACTGATGCGAGGGCCAGCACTCGAGTGGATTGGCGGCAACAGTACCTTCATCCACGGTGAAGCCACGTAGCAGCAGTTTCGCGCCGACCTGCTGAAACGATTCGAGCCGAAAAAATCCAGTTTCCTTGCCCGGGAAAAAATCATCGACACCGACAGTTCGGGAGTGTAGCGCAGTACACGCAGCAGATGGAGGAATTTTATAACTGAATTCCTGACCTGACCGAAGGGGAAAAAGTACAATCGTACCTCGCCGGGCTGAAGACCGAAGTCAAACGACAAGTGGCAGCGTCAAACTACGCGAGCTACAGTGACGTCGTTTCGGCAGCGGAGCGCTTCGACATGGTCAACGCCGGGACACGACGGACGCACGTCGGCAGTACGCGACAGGGCGACCGCTCGGCTCACCCCACGTTCGCCGACCCGATGGAAGTCGACAGATTCGAGGGGCGGCCACGTCCGAAAAACACCAACTACACGTGTGATTTTTGCGGGGTGCCGGGTCATCGAATCTTCGACTGCAACAAAATGAAAGCCGCACGCGCAGAGTATCGGGCACGCAACAGTGGCGGAAATCCTTCGGCCAATCAAAAGACAAAAAACGGGAGTCGCCAGTGATTGCGGATCTAGCTGGCGAAAATAAAAAGATCCGAAAGCGGTCGCGGGATTCCGGGGAAATCAAATTCGACGCTGCGAGAATGAGGAAATGATGGGGGAAAATCTCCACCCACGACCAGACTTCGCCAGGGAAAATCGCCGAGAAAAAATACGACTCCGCGAAAAAGACTCTGCCGAGGCGGGGAAACTCCTTGAAGACCCAAGAAATTATAAGGATTCGTTAAAGCTATCCTGTAAAGATGCTTTAATGAAAACTTGTAATTCTCGAGGGGCTAGAGCCTTGGAGAAAATTCGGGAAGGACTCCAAAAGAAGCAGACAGCTGTGGAGATTATACCGGTACCGGACAACTTGGGGAAAAATTAAGGAGTGTGGAAGGAAGCCGACCTTTCCACGGAGTCGACGTCCTCTCCCGACACCAGCCCACAACGACTACCCGTTCCCCAGGGAAGATGTCAGTGGAGCTGAAGCAGCTCAAGAGGAAGCTGGGGGTCTACAAGAAGCTACAGAAACCCCGAACTCCTCCTCCGGATGCATCCAGTTCTTCAGCATCAACGACGCGCACAGTCGTCAAGGAAACTCCGGGCCCTGGAGAAGAGCCGTTCTCCAAGCAGCCTCGGCCAGCTGCCAGCTCAAGAGTAGATAGCAACACAAAGGTGTGTACAGAATATTGGGATGTACCCTATGACCCAATCAATGAAACCATCTTTGGGTACTCCGAGCAACGCCTGCCCCTCGTGCTCAAGGTCATTTGCAAAGGACGACGCCTCCAAGCACTCGAGGACAGCGGAGCATCGCACACCGTCTGCGACAAGGCAGTAATCGACCGACTTCGGGAAGAGTACAAGCCTTCAAGATTCTCTGCAACGATGGTGGACGGCAGCAAGTTACCAGTACACGGCGAAGCAATGCTACACCTACAAATTGGACCACTGCGCTGGAGACCTGCACTTTTCATCACCAACATCAAAGGGCTTGGCCTGATCTTCGGGCGAGACTTCCTCAAGATTCAACCTGAGATCAACTGGGTGACTCGCACCACAAGTATCTACAACAATGGACGGAGAGTACAACTACCCAACTGAGACGATACAGGAGATATCCCAGTGGAGACACTTGCACGATTCGAGAAGGACGTGAAGCGAACCGACACCGGGTTCCTGGCGATAGCAACAAAGGTGGAGAACGACGGAGAGAAGACCTCGGAACCTACGGGAAAGATCAAGGAATTATTGAAGGAGTTCTAGGACATTCTTCCTGACGATCTTCCGAACGAGCTACCGCCATACCGAACACATCAGCATGAGATCGTGGAGGAACCGGGTTCGAAGCCGACCTTCCGAGCACCATATCGACTCAGCCCTACGGAGCTGACCGACATGAAAAAACAGATCGAGTATCTCCTAGCCAAAGGACTCATCCGACCATCTACTTCACATACGGTGCCCCAATGCTCTTCACACCGAAACCGAACGGAAGCCTGCGCATGTGCATCGACTACCAAGCTCTTAACAAGCAGACCATCAAGAATAAGTATCTGATACCACGAATCGATGACCTGCTTGACCAGCTTCGGGGAGCTACGGTATTTTCCTAACTGGATCTGCGGTCCGGATACTGGCAGATACAGATGGCGGACAACTCTATCCACAAAACTGCTTTTCGAACTCGGTATGGATCGTACGAGTATTTGGTAATGCCATTCGGACTCACCAACGCACAGGCAACATTCCAAGCCGAAATGAACCACGTTCTACGACCACTTTTGGACGAGTGCGTGGTGGTGTACCTGGACGACATCCTCATCTACACGCGCGACATGAAGCAGCACGTCGAACACCTGCGACGCGTCTTCGAAATTCTTCGACGAGAACGATTCTACGTCAAACTGTCCAAGAGCGAATTCGCCCTTGAGAAGGTCCAGTTCCTAGGACACATGGTGAGCGCTCAAGGAGTTCACGTCGACCCCAAGAAAATCGAAGCCGTACGTACGTGGAAGACACCCGAGAATGTGAAGGAGTTGCAGCAGTTCCTAGGCTTCGCTAATTCTTACAACAGGTTCGTGCCACAATATGCGAAACTTGCAGCACCACTCACGAATCTGCTGAAGAAGAACACGCCCTACAAATGGGAGCCGAAGCACCAGGAAGCCGTGGAGCAGCTGAAACAAGCACTTACGTCCGCACCAGTACTCATCTTGCCAGATCCCGAACGCGACTACGTAATCGAAGCAGACGCCAGCGACCAGGCAGTGGGAGCAGTCTTGATGCAAGACCAAGGAAATGGACTACAACCAATCGCCTACCTCAGCAAGAAACTGCACGGGGCAGAACTAAACTACCCGATACACGACAAAGAGGCCCTTGCCATCGTCATCGCCTTCAAAGCATGGAGATGTTATCTCGAAGGACGAAGAACAACCGTCTACACCGATCACTGTAGCCTGAAATATTTGAAGACACAACCCAACCTTTCCAGGCGGCAGGTCCGGTGGATCGACTTCCTCGAGACACACTTCCACTACGACATCGTGTACAAGCCCGGCCACAAAAACAAAGCAGACGCCCTCAGCCGGCCTGCACACGTTGCCGCTATTCTGATCGAAGGGATGAATCCACTCCTCAAGGGACTCTTCACACACGGGTACGCCATCGACCCCGAAATTCCCTTGGCAGAAAAGCGACATCTGCTACAGTGGGACAGTGACATCGCGTACCGGAAAGGATAAAAAAAAATCTGGGTACCCAATTACCCTCCTTTGCGCCAGTTACTACTCAAAGAATACCACGACGTCCTCTACGCCGGACACTTCGATACTAACAAGACGCTGACCGGTATTGCAAAACACTACTACTGGCCCCACTTGGCCGAGGATGTTCAGAATTTTGTCACCTCGTGTGATACTTGTCAGCGGATGAAGAGCAGCAAGAAGAAGAAGGCAGGACTACTGGAGCCTCTTCCTGTCCCACAACAGGCATGGCAAGTGGTTAGCCTGGACTTCATCACCGGGTTACCACCTACCACCAGCGGTCATGACGCAATCCTTGTCGTCATTGACAAGTTCTCCAAAATGGGCCACTTCATTCCGACACACACGACAGCACGCACCGAGGAGACAGCACAACTATTCGTTCGATACATCATCTCACAGCATGGCATTCCAACCACACTTATCTCCGACCGAGACCCCAAGATCACCAGCAAAATTTGGAAGGAACTCATGTCTCTACTCGGGACCAAACTCGCCATGTCATCCGCCTACCATTCGCAGACAGACGGACAGACCGAGCATCTCAACCAGATTGTTGAGCAACTCCTCCGAGCAGCCTACAAGGATGAGATCTCCAAATGGGACTTGCATCTGCCCGTTCTAGAGTTTGCTTACAACAACGCTACACATGCCGCTACTGGACAGACGCCGTTCTTCCTCTGCTACAGACGCCACCCACTCACACCACAGAAACCGACGACATCCGCTACAGTCCAACCTGCACATGATTTCATCACAACCATGCATCAGCTTTGGGATCGGACCCACAAGCGCCTCCTCGACATTCAGCAGCAACAAATGCGCCAAGCCGATCGCCATCGCAATGACCACACCATCACGGTGGGGGACCAGGTGCTTCTTGACACCCGCAACCTTGACATCAGCCATCTTCCATCCAAACTGCGACCTCGCTTCTGCGGGCCTTTTCTCGTTGAAGCACAGGTCACTCCTGTTACCTTCCGCTTATGCCTGCCAGCTACCTAGAAGATTCACAACGCCTTCCATGTCCAACTTCTGAAGCCCTATCGAGATCCAAACACGATCTTCGTCGGATGCCAACCGCCGCTGCCGCCGCCCGTCCTCGTCCAGAATGAACCCGAGTATGAGGTCGAGTCCGTGCTTGCACACCGACGTCGTCGGAATGGCACCTTGGAGCTTCTCATCCGTTGGAAGGGTTATGATCCTTCTTAGGACAGCTGGGTACCTGAGTCCGACATGGGTAACGCGCGTCGTCCTCTGCATGACTACCTTGCCAGCAGGGTGTTACTTCTACCACCCAGCTTTGAGGGGGGAAGTGTGAGAGTACGACCCCATTACACCACTTGGCCTTTCCTTATTTCCTTCCTATTTCATTTCTCTTTATCTCATCTCATTTGGTTTCCTATTCTCCCTTTTCCATTAACCTTTGGTTTATCCTGCTATTATAATTATATCACCGACCAGGCTTGGGATGTACAGGTGCGCTATATCTAGCGTAATCCTGCTGTAATCCCTTAAAGCCAATAGCCTCGTGTGGCTATACGCAGGGTGATTCTATCTTCTAGAAGGGTCTATTCCCTTAGGATAAGATAAACCTGGTTACCTTATGTACTCTGGAAGTATAAAAGCGCCTTGTACTAATCGATAGTGCAATCTTTCCTCGAGTCATCCGATCCTGTGACAGCCAGCATGACAGTCAATCTCTCCTTCTCGTACCCGGCCGTCCCCACATGAACCGTTCTTGAACCACGAACCTCGAGGGTGGTTTCCTGCAGCATCTCTAGGAAGAGTGGCGTCTGATCGGCGTTGATGATCAGGTCATCGGGGTACTCGTTCAGCATGCGGAGTTGCCGAACGAACTCCCCGAATTTCTCAACCTTCGCTTCACAGTCTACCAGTAGCAAAAGACACGATACAGGAAAGAAGAGCATCGGCGAAGACGGCTGCTGCTGCTGCAGCGGCGACAGCGGCTGCTGCAGCAGTGGAGGAGGAGGAGATTCCAGAGCAGAGACGGGTGGTGAAACCGAAGTCGCAGGTCCCCGAAGTCAGCCGACTCCTCCACTGGGACAATTGACGGGAGGGGAGTGACGTGAGACACGCCACACGTGGCAGGACGGTGAGGACGAGGAGGAGGGGCTACCCGGGGAGTGGGGACCAGGAGCAGGGGCAGGGCAATCGAGAGGCCTCAGTGGGGAAAGCGGGTGTAGATGGAGATAGAATCGTCAAAAGTGATGTCACGAGAGTGAAAGCAGTGATGAGACGGCGGGTGGTAAAAGTGCCAGTCAGACGCATCTAGGGGGAAACCAAGGAAGACATAAGGAACAATGCGGGCAATGAACTTGTCCGTGCCAGAGGCACGAACGTGAGCAATGCAGCCACAGGAGGGTCGGCGAAACCTGCGGCTGTTGGGAGTGCGGCCACAGATTAAGCTGGTGAGCGGCGTAGCAAACAGCGAATGGCAACAGAAAATGGGGTGCACTGGCATGGATCATGGAGGTACGAGCCACCTCCATGACCAAACCGATGTGTCGCTCAGCAACCCCATTCTGCTGCGGGGAGTCCGGCAGGGTGTACGACTAGGTGATGCCCTCCGCACGACAGTACTGGCCAAGCCGACCGGAGGCAAACTCGCCGCCATGGTCAGAGTGGAGACGCAGCACGGGGATGCTGTGGTGGACTCGCGCAGCTACGACCCATGAGATAAAGGTGTCAGGCACGTTGGCCTTCCGCTCCAAGGGAAACACCGTGGTATAGCGCGTGAAGTCATGGACAGCACTAGAAAGTAGTGCTCGCGACGCGGCCTAGGGATGGGGGCTGGGCCCCAAACGTCTAGGTGCAAGGTCTGGAGTAGTAGGGGGAAGAAAGGAGGAGTAAAGAGCACGGCGCAGCCGATCCTCCACACAGGACGTGCACGGCGGCGCAGGCGAGGGAGGGAGGGCAGGAAGCGACACAGGGAGACCTAAGACAAGACCGTGATGGGATATGTGACGTAGACGCGGGAGTGTGGGGTGACCTACAGCGACGGAAAGTATTGTCCACATGTTTGTGACTTAGAGGAATTTTGCCATTTTAGGGGGTCATGGACATTAAGACTTAATCTTCTGGTGTGCCTAGTGTATGTAGGTTGGGGTAAGGCTCCACGCCCATGCCTTACATCACACAAGTATAATGATGTTTACAACAAATACTAGAAAATAACAATCTTGGTACATGTGGACAATTATTGCCAGGCGCAAGCAGCAAGTTACATCAACCCCAAACTAGTACCTAATCCACCGCCCTTTCGCCTTAGACACCGCCCTCACCCTCCTGGGCATGCTTTCCACCAGGTGGGTGCACACATCCGCCGGGATCTTCTCCCATTTCTCCTGCACCCGCTCCCAAAGGTCCAGCATACCAGTGGGAGGCTTATAAGGCTTGGCCAACTGCCTCTTGAGATGAGCCCATAAATGCTCCATTGGGTTGAGATCGGGTGAGGAAGACGGCCACTCTAGCACCCCTGAATCTTACTCTCAAAGCCACTCCTGTACGATTCGCGACTTGTGCTTCGGGTCGTTGTCGTGCTGGAAGATAGTTTTTGAGGGTGTAAGCTGGTAAAGCTCAATCGTACAGTTGAGATCGTCCTGCAGTATACTCAGCGAGAGCAGTCCGTCCACCCTACCTTATGTTTTGCTCATGAAACCCGCTCCCTTTTACGACATGCAGTCGTAAATTATCAAGCAACCGCCCCCGTGTTTGACGGTCTGCTTGATTTGGTGTCTTTGGAGGGCAGTCCCTTCGTGAACGCAGGCGTATGAGAGTCAGTCGGATGCAAGACGACCGATCATGGTCTCATCCGCACAGATAACTCGCTTCTAGTCGTCAACCGTCCAGTCTGCGTGGGCACGCGCCCATTCCAGCCTATCGCGTATGTTTTTCCGAGAGTGTCGCGGTTTCTTGGGATGCTTGATTGTGACAAGTCGGCTCCCATTCAAAGCGTTACGCAATGTCTTAGGATGCAACGTGATGCCGTGCTGCTTCTCAACGATTTTCGCCACGTGAGCGGAGATTTCTGCCTCCTCGAGGGTAATCAACCGAACTATGCCACGGCGAACTCTCTCTGTCACTAAGCGAGGGCGACCGGCTGAGGGCATCGTAGGACGCACGTCATCGCGGCTAGACTCTACAATCGCCTTGATTGGCCGAACTCTTCCCTATGGCTAGCTGTTTAGCGATTCAACGATTGCTCTACCCCCTCCGCAACAAGGGAAGGATCTATGCGTAGAGCGCCTCATCTAACGGTTTCATGACGGCCTAATCATCGCAGCGGTCCTAGCCTATCTCCTGACTACTCGATAGTCGCGAGGGCAAGTAAGAAGAAATAGCGAGGTTAGGAAATAGATCTACTACGCTGCTTGGCCTAAACTGTCCGGATGCACCCACGCAGACGAAATCTCGTCCTCGGTAAAAAATCGACCCCTATAAAACTGAAACCAGCATAAGTCGCATACAGTACAGTACTACTTTACATCCAACCCCGAAATTTGATTCGTAACTAAACAAAGAAGGCACCAAACTAGTACGAGAAATGTTTTAAGGCAATTATCCGGGCAATACTTTCCGTCGCTGTAGGTGGTGGTGCGACAGCAGCGAGGGGTGGGTCAGCGACTAACACGAGCAAGCCACAGCAACCTGGAAGGACGTGACGACCTTGGGGGACGCTCTTACCAGGGGGGACGCGGTGTCTAGGGTGAACAGGCCAGACACGGGGTCCCGGGGGAACGTGGTGAGAGGGACATTAGTGGTGCCCTCGGTACAGACTGCGTACCGCTCGTGTCCAGGAAACGTAGTGGTGACGCCGAGGTCCTGAAGACAGCCGACACCAACTAAGTTCCTGGAGAACGAGGGGATGTGCAAGCCTATAAGAGAGCCCGAGGGAACCGCCAGACAGGGAAGGGTAGTGGAGCTACGAGCAACTACCGGACTTGAGAAGGGGTCAACAGGCGCTACAGCGGTAGGGGAAATAAGCGGCGTGAGCACAGTGTGGTCGCGAAAGAAGCAGGCGGACAAACCAGAGTCTAGCGTGAATGAGAGCACCACGGTAGCGGCCGCAAGCGGAGGAGATAGAGTGGAGCCGAGGCTAAACAAGGCAGGTGGTCATAGGCCTAGCGCAGCAGGGGAACCCAGACTACACATAGTGGATACACCTACACTGGGCAACACCAGGTAATAGGGTCCAGTCACTCTAGAGTCATCAGTATACATGACATACTGTACATAGCAGTTCTAATCTGATCCATATCAAGCTCAAAGATTGACAAGGCGACGCACCAGGCTGGTGCGTATCTATCAGCCTGGTGCGTATCTGCCTGGCTGTACCAGTCGGGGGGATCCGACGTAGGGCCGAAGCGGAGACAGAAGAGGTTGTCGAGGCGGCGGTAGCAGCGAGCGGTGGTGTGACCGGGACGGTCGCAGACGGTGCCGCGGCGGGGGCCGGAATGATGCTGGTACTGGCAGGTGACCATGCTGGAGCTGCGTGGCCCACCACCATGCCCACCACCACCAGCGCCGCCAGGCCACCACGGCGGCGAGGGCCCCCACAACGGCTGCTGCTGCTGCTGCGACTGCTGCTGCTGCTCCGGGGCATCAGCCGCGGTCCCCTTGTCTGCACCACCGTCCCCGCCCCCACCTCCACCACCCCCACCACCCCCACCACCCCCGCCACCCTTCCCTCCGCCACGCCCCTCCTTGGGGCAGCGGCCCTTACCCTAACGTGGTTGCGCTGAGGCTTCAGCGGTGGTCTCAGCAGCAGGGGCTGTCTCCGCGAGAGCGGCAAAAACGTCAGAGTAAGTGCACTGGCAGGGAGCACAGCCCTGGAAGATAGGGACCGCCGCAGTACCACTAGACAGAGCGATAGTGCACTGTCGGGTCTCTATCGCGGACATGGCTCTGACGAAGGCAGTTAGGGTTTGAGGTCACCTGGGTGCTGACTAAGGAAGTGGTCGCGGACGGTCGCGGGCGCGTGATAATGAGGTAAAGGGTAGCACAAAGCAGCGGCGGGAAGGCAGTGAGCTGTGCCTTAGTGCTAGCGGCGCGGTAGCTAGTCTCAAGTGCACGGAGGTGGGTGGCAAGGTCAGCGACAGTGGGGAAGGACGCAAGATCAGGAAAGAGCATGGGTAGGATCAGACGGCCGGCAGAGGTAGAGGAGGGAGTGGAATCACGCGCAACGACTACATCTAAGTATGCCTTTGCATTTGCTACAGTGGTAAAGTGAGGATGCTCAGACAGGAGAAGGGCGTAACTAATGGCGAGCTATGCAATGACGCCGCGCGACTCCGAGACAGCGGGGGCAAGCTCAGCAGCGGCAAAGGCCTCACGCTCAACATACGTGGGGCGTCAGGAGGGCAACAGGCGGTGCGGGGCAGGGGAGCTTACCATCGACATGGACGGCCAGGGAGTAGCCGTCCAGGCGCCGACCGGTCAGCTGGCGGGGGAGGTCGACGAGCCACGCCTCAAAATCAACGGCCCGATCCTCCGCATGCTGGCGGAGCACAGTCTCCGCCATCACCACGGCTGCAGCAGTCGACTGCCATTGATGGGGGGAGGAGAAAAGCGGTGAAGGACAGTGGAGAGCGGTGGAGAGCGGTGGAGTGCGGTGGAGTGCGGTGGAGAGGGGTGGAGCCTGCCGGCAGTAGCGCCGGCTCAGAGGGGGAGCCAAGGCTGGCGGGTCAGTGCGGCTCGGCGGTAACAAGGGCCGGGGCGGGCTGGGACCGGCGGAGCTACAGCCGGCGGAGCTGGGGCTGGCGGAGCGGGGACCGACGGAGCTGGGGCTGGCTTGAGCGGGGCAACGGGGTGGACAGGCGCGGGGTCAGCGAGCACGGGGCCAGCAAGCACGAGGCCAGCGGGCGCAGCGCTGGTGAGCGTGGGGCTGGCGGGCGCGGGGCGACCTAGCGAGGGGCCGGCGAACTCGGAGCCAGCGGGCGCGAGACGGGCGGGCGCGGGGCCAGCAGGCGCAAGGCTAGCGGGCGCGGGGCTGGCGAGCGCAGGGGCCGGCGGGCGCGGGTCTGGCGAATGCAGGGCCAGCGGGCGCGGGGCGGGCTAACTCAGGGCCAGCGAGCGCGGGGCTGGCGATCGCGGGGCCAGCGAGCGCGGGGCTACGGGTGGCTAAGGGCGGCTAGCGACGGCCTGCTAGGTCTAGGACTAGGACTAGGGCGGAAGCGCGGGTGAGGGAGGAGGACCTAACCTGGCGTGATACCATCTTAGAGTAACGAAATTGACTAGAATGAGAGATACAATATGGTTTTGTGCCAAGGGGTTGTACTCTCTAAGAGTACACACAGTCATTAAGTCACAAGTTCTAACCACTGGGACAAGAAGGGATGTCATCAGGAGGGTTGGGCTCCATATATCCACCTTCCCCAGGGAAAGCCTCCTTAGTACCCTCCCTAAAGAGATAGAGAGGATCGACAGGGTTATACTAGTGCCACAACACAACCCCGCACTGGGATAGCATGTACACCAGGAAATGAACCTCGGATGGCTCTGATACCAAATCATTAAGTCACAAGTCCTAACCACTGGGACAAGAAGGGAAGTCATCAAGAGGGTTAGGCTCCATATACAGTTAGGCTCCATATATCCACCTTCCCCAGGGAAAGCCCCCCTAGTACCCTCCCTAGAGAGAGAGGGAGGATCGACAGGGTTATCCCAGTGCCACGACATGTACCTATTTAGCCTACAGTAACATATATGTTTGACACGTTCTCCCAAATTCGTTCCCGTTCCGTCCTTTGTAGCGCCGCCACCCTGCGTTCCCCCCTGCGATTTAGACTCACTGCCGCGATTCCGTTTCCCCTATCGCTCAGCAGTTTCCTATCGCCCCCCCAGATTTCGCCTCCGCCTCTCTAATTTTCGAATGTTTACACCTCCCCCCCCCCCCCCCCCTCCGCGATTTCGTCCCCAATTGTATCTGCCCCTTCGTTTTCCCGCATCTGCTGTTTGAATTTGACTTCCCCGATTTTGACGAAATAACAGTTGTCGTCACTCTCGTTGCCCAATCAGCATTTTTCCAACCTAACTCACACTGTAGCAGTCAACACATCTCAAGGAATGTGTACCGCGGCTTCAACATTGCCGCATAACCTATGATCAGCCCAGATTTATTCCCTTTATCGCCCATCTGTTAAAATTATATAAGTTATAATTTATATAGGCTTGGTAGGTTGTTACTGAACCTTTTCTGTAGAGGGTACAAACCCCTCCTTGTACTCCTCTCTCTTCCTAATCCAACTCTCTTTCCTCTCGACATTTTTCCTACTCTCCTAGCTAAACCCCGCCGCCACAACCATGGCGGCCTCCTTTCACTTCCTCCTAGCCTAGTGCTACTTTAACACCATCATCCAAATTGTGATGGCACATATGTCAAGATTATATAAGTTGTATATAATTGATAGGCTTGATAGTTGTTACTGAACCTTTCTATAGAGGGTACAATCCCCTCCTTGTACCTCTCTCTCTTCCTAATCGACTCTCTTCTTTCTCGACACTTTTCTCCTCACCTTCCTAGATCTGCTTTCCTCCCGCCATTCCATGGCGGCCTTTCCTAGTATCTTAGCTTCCTAGCCAAGCTAGTGTCCTAAGCTTAAGAAGCTAGTGTCCTAAGTTTAAGATGGTATCAGAGCATGAGGTCCTCCCTGCTGGACCGCCTACTCACGCTTCTCGCGCTGCCATGGCGCCCGTGTCATGCCGCTGGCCGCGTCGTGCCGCGGCCGTCTCGACGCGCTGGTGTGGCGTCGCGCTGTCGTGCCGTCGCTTCCGCCGCGCATTTCTCTCGTCACTGCCTTCCCGCCGTGGCGGCCATGCCGGCCTGTCATGGCGGCTTCGTCGTGCGGCCATCGCATCCTTGACTCCCTGTCGTGGCGGCGTCGATGCTTTGCCGTGGCAACGTCACCTTGCTGCCGTTGCAGCGTCGGCGTGCCGCCACAGCGTCGACGCCGCGCTCTGGCGGCGTCGTCATGCTGCCGCGGCAGCGTCGATGGGCGGCAGCGGGCAGCACGCCGTCGTAACCGCCACCTGCCCGCCCTCCTGCCAGTAAGCGCCGCGCCACTCATGGCGCGTCGCTGAAGACTTGTCCCTTCCCCCCTGCGTCTTCCCTTCCTCCTGTCGCAGCTGCTGTCTTCTGCCCGGACGTTGTCACACCGCCGAGAGCCCTCAGCCGCGGCAGTCGCCGCCTGCCGTCAGCGACCTAGCCGCCTTGAGCCAGAGCTCCGCCGCTGCTTGTCGCTGAGCCGCCAGACGCCGTAGGCTGCCTCTCGCCCGGGGGTGTCAACGCTTAGCACGAGGGTCAGATACCCGGCTAAGCACGAGTTTGAGGGTGTGCGGGGTTAGGGGGTGTGTTGGGTGGGTGTGTGACTATCAAGCCTAGGGGGTGTGTCAAGATTATATAAGTTGTATATAATTGATAGGCTTGATAGTTGTTACTGAACCTTTCTGTAGAGGGTACAATCCCCTCCTTGTACCTCTCTCTCTTCCTAATCGACTCTCTTCTTTCTCGACACTTTTCTCCTCACCTTCCTAGATCTACTTTCCTCCCGCCATTCCATGGCGGCCTTTCCTAGTATCTTAGCTTCCTAGCCAAGCTAGTGTCCTAAGCTTAAGAAGCTAGTGTCCTAAGTTTAAGAACATATAGTCGCCACCCTTATTGATGGACTGTAGGATGTAACGCCTTCCACTGACTTCTACTCTACGGTCCCACCAATTCTAGATCCGGGTAATCATGTCCAATAATGCCCTTAATGTCATAATTATGCCCTTGGTTGTCTCTATGAATCCCTCGATATATCTCTTTTCCTCAATGGTTACATATATGCATTCCTGGTACGCCAGGCACAACTTATAGTGTTTATTGTTTTGTAGTCGCAGATACCTGTACTTATCAGCAGAACACCATTCCTCTGTACGTTCGCTCAGGAGTGGCTCGTACAGTTTGGGCGAGCTGACACGCTGGCGCATATCCCTCTGCATTTTATTTCCGCCCGCATCACTTGAGATCTCGTGCCCTCCTCCTACGGTATTCTACACGCTTCGTCCTGCACATCTCTCCCCTCATTCCACACCCTACATCCTCCTCGTACCAGTTCCTCCCAACCCGTTCTTGCACCACCTATTTCCGCGGCAGCACGCGCTTCTCCCCCTTGCTCCCCATCCGCCCTCCCCTCGTTGACCCTCGGACCTTCCGTGCCTCTCGCGCCGTCACCATGCTCGCCGCATCACCCGCTGCTACCTCGGCGCTCGCTGCCGCTCGTCAGGTGGCTTTGCCTTCCTTCGCCCCTCCTTCTCCTTCTGCGGCCCCCCTTCTCTCGCCCTCTCATCGTCGCATTCCCCCTTCTCTCGCCCTCTCATCGTCGCATTCCCCCTTCTCTCGCCCTCTCATCGTCGCATTCCCCCTTCTCTCGCCCTCTCATCGTCGCATTCCCCCTTCTCTCGCCCTCTCATCGTCGCATTCCCCCTTCTCTCGCCCTCTCATCGTCGCATTCCCCCTTCTCTCGCCCTCTCATCGTCGCATTCCCCCTTCTCTCGCCCTCTCATCGTCGCATTCCCCCCTTCTCTCGCCCTCTCATCGTCGCATTCCCCCTTCTCTCGCCCTCTCATCGTCGCATTCCCCTTCTCTCGCCCTCTCATCGTCGCATTCCCCCTCGGCGTTGCAGCCGTACTCTCCCCTCCCCTCGTTGCTCCAACGCTCCAACGCTCCTCTCCTCAGCCCTTAGTTTCCCGCCGGCTCTCGCCGTCATCGCCTCCTCGTCTTCTTCATGCCGCTCACTGCCTTCCCTCCGCCTTCCTCCCCCCCTTGCGCGCCTGCGTCCTTCCCGCCCGCCTTCCGAATATCTCCCCTCCGCAGATCGCGTGTCCCCCGCAGCAAGCGGCCCAGCGGGAAGGCGCAAGGGCGTGCGCCTCAGGCTGGGTGACTGGCGCAAAGCTGAAGAGCGCGCACTCTCACGCTGCGCCGCACGGAGGGTTTTCCGCGCCCTCCTATCAGAGATTGCCACGTGGAGCTGCTCAACGAGGGGGGCATGTAGTTTGCTCTGCGGGTGCTCCGCCCTCTTTTGGGCGGCAGATGCTGGTGAGGGGAAGGGGAGTTGAAGGGGGGGGATGGGGGGGGAGATGGGGGGATGGTCTGATAAGGTGCATGGACATGCGCCGCGCATTCACAGCCCCTCCAATCCCCCCCGGCCTCCCCGATTCCCTCCCTTCACGTCGCATCCCTCTCCCCTTCACCTACCCTCTCCGCCCCGGGTGGCCGGTCTGCGCGGGTGCGTGGTGCGAGGCGGGCAGGTGATGGTGCCGCCGCACCCGCTCATCAAGCACTGGATCGCCATCCTGCGCAACGCCACCTCGCCGCCGCCCATCTTCCGTGAGTCAACGCCCCCATCTTCCGTGAGTCAACGCCCCCATCTTCCGTGAGTCAACGTCCGTCAACGCTAGTCCATGCTAGTCAATGACAGTCCAGGTCTAAGGCAGTGTGCTAGTGCCAGGCAAGGACGTGCTGTAACGCCCGTGCCGTGCCAGGGGGCCCGTGCCATTTGAGCTCCCATGCAACAAGTCTCACATGCTGCAACGATGCATGCCCATGCCCTCCTTGTATTCACGTGCCGCGCTTGCAGGTGCCGCATTGGCCGAGCTTGGTCGCAACATTGCATACGAGGCAACCCGTGATTGGCTGGTGAGGCAACTGTGATTGGTTGGTGAGGCGGCAGTGAGTTTCCAGCTGCCCGTGCCATTCCGCCACCCCAGCCAGCCAGTCCACCCACTCAGCCTTTTTGCTCGCTGCCTTCCTGCCGCCTCCCCTCTGCGCCCTGACTCGCCCTCTGCGCCCTGACTCGCCCTCTGCGCCCTGACTCGCCCTCTGCGCCCTGACTCGCCCTCTGCGCCCTGACTCGCCCTCTGCACGTCCAACTCCAACTCGCTTTCCTCCAACTCCCCCTTTCCTTTCCCCCAACTCCCCCTTTCCTTTCCCCCAACTCCCCCTTTCCTTTCCCCCAACTCCCCCTTTCCTTTCCCGCCCGCCCGGCAGCCCATGGTTCAGGGCGAGGTGGCCACGCCATGCGGGGTGGCGGAGGTGGAGGCGGTGGACCCCTCGCAGCCAATCGCGGTGAGCCACGTGGCGCGTAGGGGTTGGGCGGTGTTGAGCGGTTGTTCAGCTGAGCGTGGTGGTTCATCCTAAGAACAGCCTGCATGCGCCGTGCACCAGTGTGCATGTGCTTGACCCACTGGGCAGTGCTTGACCCACTGGGCAATACTGCTCGTCACATGAACACCAAGCATGCAACACCGCTGTAATATCGAAGCCATGCATGTGTGTGCTGCTCCCTGTGTGCGCTGCTCCCTGTGTGTGCTGCTCCCTGTGTGTGCTGCTCCCTGTGTGCGCTGCTCCCTGCGTGGCTGGTCAGATCATCCCGGTGCTGAGGGCGGGGGCCGTGATGACGGAGCAGATGGGGCCAGTCATCCCGCACACCGTCACCTACCACCTCGGTGGGTCACCAATGCCGTGTGTGCATCATATGCAGTCTCGGAATGATCACCCAGCCATGAATACTCATCGCGACAATACATTGGGTTTGTGCACTTGTGGGCGCTTTGTTAAGCACGTGCCACATGCCATGCGCACGTTCATTTGCACGCGTGCCATCGCCGCACACCATGTGCCATCGCCACACACCATGTGCCATCGCCACACACCATGTGCCATCGCCCCACGCCACATGTCATTGCCACACACCGTGTGCCAACCATCCCTCTCGCCCCTTGACCAGGCTATGCTCGTGACGAGACCACTCTCGAGCCAACACTCTACCTCAACAAGTCAGTTCCACGCCACCCCTCTCCACCCCTCTCCTTGCGCCCACAACTCTTTCCGTCCTAAAGCCCCTTCTCTCGCCATGGTGCATATCATCTAACATCTATCATCTATCATCTATCATCTATCATCTATCATGTATCATCTATCACCTATCATCTATCATCCATCATCTATCATCTAACATCTATCATCTATCATCTATCATCTATCATCTATCATCTATCATCTATCATCTATCATTTATCATCTAACATCTATCATCTATCATCTCTCATCTATCATCTATCATCCATCATCCATCATCTATCATCTATCATCTATCATCCATCATCCATCATCTATCATCTATCATCTATCATCCATCATCTATCATCTATCATCTATCATCCATCATCTATCATCTATCATCTATCATCTATCATCCATCATCCATCATCCATCATCTATCATCTATCATCTATCATCTATCATCTATCATCCATCATCTATCATCTATCATCTATCATCCATCATCTATCATCTATCATCTAACATCCCATCCATCCCGTTCCATGGCCCCCTCACCTCGCTCCCATCCCCTCTCTCCTCTCCCCCCTCTTTCCTCTCCCCCCTCTCTCCTCTCCCCCCTCTCTCCTCTCACCCGCGCCCTGTATGCGCCACCAGGCTGCCCGAGTCTTTTGCCCCCACGGCACGCCTCATCATAGTGGATGCCATGCTGGCCACGGGTGAGATGCCATGCTGGCCACGGGTGATAGGGTTGCGGGTGAGAGGCGTGGTGGGCGGGGGTTAGGCATGGGTGAGGCATGGGTGAGGCATGGGTGAGGCATGGGTGAGGCATGGGTGAGGCATGGGTGAGGCATGGGTGAGGCAGGGGGCTGCGGCAAGGAGCGACATGGGCGAGCATGCTATGGCCGCTGGTAGGCAGTGTGTGCTGCTTTCGCCTCTGAGGAGATGCTGGGCGAATGGTAACATGTGGTGGGCGAATGGTAACATGTGGTGGGCGAACGGTAACATGTGGTGGGCGAATGTTAACATGTGGTGGGCGAATGTTAACATGTGGTGGGCGAATGGTAACATGTGGTGGGCGAATGTTAACATGTGGTGGGCGAATGGTAACATGTGGTGGGCGAATGTTAACATGTGGTGGGCGAATGTTAACATGTGGTGGGCGAATGGTAACATGTGGTGTGGGCTCGCATACCTTGTATGTTGATACCCTGTGCTCGCTTTTGTTGGCTCATTCCAACCCACTGTCAACGTACATCTACTGCTCATGCCATGCCTTGGGGCCTGTCTCGTGCCATCATGCCATCATGCCAACATGCCATCATGCCATCCCACCCCATCCCATGCCATGCCATCCCATGCCATGCCATCCCATGCCATGCCATGCCATGCATGGGTGCAGGCGGCACCATCATGGCAACCATGGACGAGGTGGTCAAGCGCGGTGCCAACCCCAATAACATCCGCGTGGTAATGTGCCTCCCGGTGCTGCATGCCATGTGCTGCCATTGTAGCATGCCATGTACTGCCATTGTAACATGCCATGTGCTGCCTTTGTAGCATGCCATGCGCTGCCATTGTAGCATGCCATGCGCTGCCATTGTAGCACCCCATGCGCTGCCATTGTAGCATGACATGCGCTGCCATTGTAACATGCCATGTGCTGCCATCGCAGCATGCCATGTCTCCTGCCAGCCTGGGTGCCATGTCCGATGCCAGCCTGGGTGCCATGTCCGATGCCAGCCTGGGTGCCATGTCCGATGCCACCTCCCCTCACGCACACAATCGCCCTTTCCGATGTCAACCCCCTCGCTCGTGTTTGCTGCCACGCCACCAGATATCGGCCATAGTGGCCTCTCCCGCACTCAAGCGCCTGAGCGAGAAGTACAAAGGGTGAGAGCGAGAGAGACTGTGCAAGGGGTGGACTGTGCAGGATAGATGCGAAGCGATGGTTGCCCCCCCTGGCATCACACTCAACCATCCACAGCAGTTTGTTCGTTCCTGTTTCCGCCCTCCCCATGCCCATGTGCTCTCCCCAGGCGAACATGCTGTGCTTGTTGCCCACTCATGCATGTTGGCCACTCATGCTTGTTGGCCACTCGTGCATGTTGGCCACTCATGCATGTTGGCCACTCGTGCATGTTGGCCACTCGTGCATGTTGGCCACTCGTGCATGTTGGCCACTCATGCATGTTGCCCACTCGTGCATGTTGGCCACTCATGCATGTTGCCCACTCGTGCATGTTGGCCACTCATGCATGTTGGCCACTCGTGCATGTTGGCCACTCATGCATGTTGGCCACTCATGCATGTTGCCCACTCGTGCATGTTGGCCACTCATGCATGTTGGCCACTCATGCATGCTGGCCACTCATGCATGTTGGCCACTCATGCATGCTGGCCACTCATGCATGTTGGCCACTCATGCATGTTGCCCACTCGTGCATGTTGCCTCCTGTTGCCCCCTGCTATCCGTGCCACCACCCCAACAGGCTGCGTGTGTACACGGGGATGATCGATGCCGACGTCAACGCCCAAGGGTATGCCCGCCACACCTTATCTCTACCCCTCTCTGACCACCACGCCTGCTCCCCTGTGCGTTGATCCCACGCATGCGGCACCTCTTGCACTCATCCACTCCCTCCGCCACCATGCTCTCCCACCCCCATCCCACCATTCCCGGCCTGGCATGGCAGGTTCATCGTACCTGGACTTGGGGATGCTGGAGACAGGAGTTACGGCACCTTGTAGCGGCAAGGCAAGGCCCCTCCGTGGCAGGAGCATGCAAGTGCTGAAGAACCTTTCAAGGATTCAAGCCACACTTGTAGTTTCCACTTTCCTTCTTTGCGCGATTGGTTTGGTTACTAGGCTCTTGTCTCGAGGCCTTATTCAGACATAGCTGTCCATAGGTGTTTGTTCAAACAAGGCACATGGCATGGCACACAGTCCATGCTTGAAATGATACACAGAGCAGCTGCAACTGCCAGAGCAGCGCACCATGCAGCAAAGGCAAGTAGGGAGTGTGTGTTCAGCAGAGGCATGAAAGGTGTTAATTTCCTGGCGGCGGGCAGGGCAGGCGTTGAGCCTGTGGTTCACATGTGTGACTATGCAACTGGTTGCAGCGCAGCCATGTCCTTCTTGATGGCGAAGATGGCGTTCAGCACGTCCTCCACCACCTGGGGGCATTGGGGGGGGAGAGGGGGGCATTGGGGGGGCATTGGGGGGGAGAGGGGGGCATTGGGGGGGCATTGTGGGGGCATTGTGGGGGCATTGGGGGAGCATTGGGGGGGCATTGGGGGAGCATTGGGGGGGGGGGCATTGGGGGGGCATTGGGGGGGGAGGGAATGAGAGAGATGAGAGCAGGAAGAGAGAGAGGCGGGCGCAAGAAGTGGGATGATGGCAACGCAGCGAGCCACAGGCCCACAGCAGCCCATGGCGGCCCCAGCAGTCTGCGTGCGACTGCTGAGGAGCAGACATAGAAAGGGGTGGATGCCTGGAGAGCAGGCGCGCATGAGTGCAAGGCCGCCATAAGTTTAAAGGCATGCATGCACACACAGCCGCGAGGCAGCGCTAAGGCAGTGCTGTGAGCGGCACAGCCGTCACGAGCAGGTGTGGGGTGCACCTTGTCGGGAGTGGAGGCCCCCGAAGTGACGCCGATACGGATGGGGCCGGGCGGCAGGAAGCCCTCCGTCTCCTTCAGCTCGCCGTAGTACAGCTTGTGCATGATGCGGTTGCCGGGGCCGATGCGCGTCGGCTCGTCCACCCAGTACGACGCGATGCCCTTGTGTTCCGCAATCTCCTGCAGGTGCGAGGTGTTGCTGCTGTTGAGCCCGCCCACGACGAGCATGAGGTCCATGGGGCGCTCCACCAGCGCGTACATGGCGTCCTGCCGCTCCTGCGTGGCGTCGCAGATGGTGTTGAAGCTCATGAAGTGCTCGTTCACGCTCGTCGCACCAAACTTCTGCATCATCGTGTGCTCCAGCAGCTTGCCTGCCACGCCGCATGGGGGCCATGTGGGGGGGGGAAGGACGGCAAGGGACGAGAGGGAGCAACGAGAGCAATGAGAGTGCTGGTTCAGGTAGCGCTGAGTGCTGTTGCACCACAGGCGCTCGTGAGGAGGCGTGGGGGAAGCACAGGACGAGCAGGGAATGATCAGAGAGGCATGAGACTGCCAAGCGAGTGAAGGGACACGGCAATGAGCTAGGGTGCATGACCAACTACGGGCATGTGGTCCAGTCCTCCTCCTCTCCACCATCCCAGCCGCCGCCACCGGTGCAGGGTGGCGTCTCACCGATCATTTCGGTTTCACCCTTGAGCATGGTGGTCTGGTTGGCGATGCCCAGCTTCTCCAGGTCGCGGTCCGGGTCAAAGCCCTTGGACACCGCCTTGGCAAACTTCTGAGCGCGCGCAGGCCGAGCAGGGGGGGGAGGGGCGCGAGGTGGGCACGAGTGAGGGGGAGACGCAGAGCACCGGGATGGCACGGCATGGTGCAGAAAGGATGGCGGGGACGAGAGCAGCAACGTGCACGGATGGGCGCGGCAAGGAGGGTGGGCGCGGCAAGGAGGGTGGGCGCAGCAAGGAGGGTGGGCGCGGCAAGGAGGGTGGGCGCGGCAAGGAGGGTGGGCGTGGCAAGGAGGGTGGGCGCGGCAAGGAGGGTGGGCGCGGCAAGGAGGGTGGGCGCGGAACGGACAACTCGCCTGCAGGAACTCTTCGCGCGTGCCACTGGAGCCGTCGAGCTTGCCGCCCAGAATGTAGTCGCACACATAGTGCGCCTGGCGGAGCGGGAGCAGCCACGAGGGGGAGAAAACAGCAGACCAGTGTCTCGACTCCGCACTGTGGGAGCACAGAACAGAGCTGGCGCTCGTTGGTGGGACCAGGGTGATGGCACAGCGCGCAGTGCAAATACGTGCTCTCCAACACGACTTGTACGCCTACGCGCCTACAGCCACCGCCTTATCCACTGTGAACCCTTGCTATCGTAGTTCCGTGCCTCTCCTGACAACCTTTGCCACCATACGCGCTGCATGCCTTTCATCCCCCCTCCGCACCTCCTGCACCTCCTGCGCGCCCTGCATGCCCTGCATGCCCTGCACGCCGTGCAGGGCGGCGCCATACCTCCTTCATGTCCTTGACGACGATGTAGGTGCCGGCGTACGAGGCGGTGGCGACGGTCTCCTCATGCGCGTACTTGCCGTGGATCACCGACGTGAACTGCCCGCGCTTGTGCTTGTCCACCGTGTCCCACACCTGCCGCCCACACGAGGGATGGAGAGGACACATGGACGAGGCGAGGGCATGAAAGAGCCTGGGATATAAGTGTCCAAATGGATATAAGTGTCCAAAGGGATATAAGTGTCCGAAGGGATATAAGTGTCCGAAGGGATATAAGTGTCCAAAGGGATATAAGTGTCCAAAGGGATATAAGTGTCCAAAGGGATATAAGTGTCCATAGGGATATAAGTGTCCAAAGGGATATAAGTGTCCAAAGGGATATAAGCGTCCAAAGGGATATAAGTGTCCAAAGGGATATAAGTGTCCAAAGGGATATAAGTGTCCAAAGGGATATAAGCGTCCAAAGGGAGCGCCTGCATGTCTCTACCTTCCTCTCCCCTGGCCCCGCGGCCTTTCCCACTCCGCCCGTCCTCCCATCCACCTCCTTTCTCTCCCATTCCCTCGTCCCCCTCTCCGCTGCCATTGAAAAGCTCGTGCAGGGGGGGCGCACCTTGGAGACCCAGGGGCAGGTGGTGTCGACCATCTGCACGTTCTTGTCGTGGAACATGGTCACCTCCTGCAGCGACGCGCCGAACGCCGGCAGCACCACCACGTTGTCGTCCGCCACCACGCTGAAGTCCTTGCTGCCGTCGCCGCGCGTCTCGATGAAGCTCATCCCCATGCTCTCCATTTTCTGCCGCGCGCACCAACACACAGCATGAGTCGCCACCACAACGCATGCGCTACTGCGAATGGAACAGGAATAAAAGGTACGACTTTAGAAAACTGGAGGGGGGCTAAGCAAGCCGAACGGCAATCGTCGCCGTCTCGGGGAACGGCACTAACGACGGGGAGGGCGCATTGGCACGCACGTCGTTGACGGTGGGGTTGTGGATGATCTCGTTGGTCACCCAGATCTTCTGGTCGGGGAACTGCTTGCGCGCCTCGTACGCCATCTGCACAGCGCGCTCCACGCCCCAGCAGAAGCCCAGCGACTCGGCGAGCATCACGGTGACGTCGCCCCACGTGTACTCGTTGTTGTTCTCGCGCAGGGTCTTCACCACGTCGCCTGCACGCAGGAATCAAAGCTTCTGAGAGCAGACACGCCACGACTAAGGGCTTGAGCAGTCGCTTCAAGGGCTAAACGAGAGAAAAATCCCTGGCAACCCGAAATTCCTACGCCTACCCATTCTTACGCAAGAACTATCTCTCCACTGCACGAATTCTCAGAGACTAGATAAATATCCCCATTTTGAATGCTGGGTCTCTTTTATGGATGGTAGCGTCCTTTGAACTCACTCGTGTACTCCTGCTCCATCCGCTCCAGCATCTCCTTCTTGTACCCGAACCCGCTGCGGTTGTAGTTGTCGCTCTTATTCAACGCGCGGCGGAATGCGCGGCCATCGACGGCCACCTCGCTCTCCTCGCCGCCATGGCACCTGATTCCAGCTGGAAGGCGCTTCGCTCCCGCAGTTAGGCTCGGCCTGGACATCGGCCCAGCTGCGAAGCTGGATCGAGACGAATAGGCCGATGCAAGGACTGCGGATTGTGCGGGAGCGGCAGCCATGGCGATACGCGCAGCGGCGGCAGACACGGCAGCCATGGATGCGTCCAGAGGAGGAAGGGAGGTGGAATGGGAAAAGCAGGCTCGAAAACTGAGTGGAGCGTAAAGGAAACCCTGGGACAATCACAACCACAATCCCAAGGGCGGGAGCTTCGCTCGCTTGTCGGTGTTGCGAAAGCAGTCAGCAAGGACGAAGGCAATGCGAAGACAAGTTCTCACTGATAGCAGTTACAAGGTGCCTGTCTTATCTTTTCGATGAGGAATCGGTTTCGCGAATAGTGACTGGCTGTTTCCCAAGGAATGTGGAAAAGGAAGAACAGGCAGCCAATCGAAGACAAGGATAGAATGACAGAGCATGAATGTGGTCAACCAAAATTTCACCACAGATGCCTTCACAATGACCAAGGGAGGTTGTTCCCGTTTCTGAGGGCCCTCGAAATCCCTTATGTACACCATGCTTCTGGAATCTGGATACCTTGTTCATTTCAACATTTCAGTTCGGTATATTTTTACGCACGGAACGTGCGGTTCAATAAGGGAACATAATGCACCTCTACACTTTACCGTAACGGCTACAGCTGGGGAGCTCACCGTTCAAACGGTGCTCTCAGCGAACCACCTGGTTTGGCGCCTGGTGCGGCCCCAACGATTCCCAAAGGACTGTCCAACGTGGCCCGAAATTCGCCATTCGATTCGCACATTCGCTGCGACACGATGCGATGGGTGCGTTTGGGGGGGGCCTTGAGGCCAGCTAGCGAGAGCTCTTCGCAGTACAAAAGGGGGTGGAGCGAGCTTCACAAGGTGTGTTGCTTTGCAGAACCATCGCATTGCGACGAGATACTCACTTGAGCGACGAACGACTTATTTGCGATCTGACTACTTGCTCTCTATACGATACTTGCGACTATTGGAATTTCACGAGCGACAAGGAATTGAGGCTTCAGTCAACCCGTTGACGACCACCACTCGCCGCTACCCACTCTTCCCTCCCAGCCCCTCCTTTCCGCTTCGTCTTGTCGGTCACCGCTTTTCGCATCCGTGTTGTCGTCCATTACTCTCTTCGAATCGCATATTTGGAATTCACACGCTTTTTGGTT